TGCTTGTAAGAGCAGACAGTGCCAGACACCACTAGCACCGCCGGGAAGGCTCCATCTATTGGTGGGGAGCGGCACCTGCAGGAATTGGGTCCAGCCGTCCCGGAACATTGCAATTGTTTATGTGAACACTCGTGCAATTGTGACGAAAGCAAGCTAGCAAGCTAGCAAGCTACCGGGCTTACCTATTCCTGTCTCTTATACACATCTAGATGTGTATAAGAGACAGCTCTCTGTCTTGCCCATTCGCGAGAATCGGACGTAGCGGCTAGTAGAACTCCTCCCCGATTTCGCCCAGCTCGTCGTGGAGATGTTCCCGCCCCTCCAAGGGGGGGTCGACGTGGACCCTGTACACTGCGGGCTCATTCAAGCGCTCACCGTACTCCATCGCCACATTCCAGACAAGGAGGTCGACGATTTCAGCCAAAACATCGACGCCCCTATCCCACCGATCAGGGATCGCCGTCCCAACTTTCATGGCGAAACCTACCACCTGCCGGAGCAGTCCCCGCGTGAAAACGAAGCCCACTGTTAGATGGAGATAAGTGTCTCCATCGGTATCGACCTCGTAGTGCCGGATTTCGTGATGGGTGACGCTCGCCATGAAGTCGAACTCCCGTCCGTACGCATTGCCATGCCGATGCCTCATCTCATAGAAGATGCTGCACCGCCGCAGCACACGCCCCCTCAGCGCGACGACGATGTCCATGGGCAACGAGCTGCCGCCAAGTCACCCGAATCACCCGTAGGAGGAAAGAAACATCGGCCGCCGCCGCTTCAACCCGATGATCGCCGATGATGGCCAACCAGCAACTCCCTTTCGAACTCTTCGATCGCCCTTTTCCGACGGGGGACTCACCCTCGTACCAGTGCGATCAACGACCAACCCAACCCGATGATCGACGACCAACTACTCCCCTTCGAACTCGTCGCCCACCCACCTCGCCTCCCGGTCGAAAAGCAGTCGGCCCTCGGTCGTCAAAGCTTCACCAACAACTTGCGTATGAGGGCGGTCGT